GTCTACTCTAAACACAGGGGCAGAGAACAGAAATCTCATGGACAATAACTGATGTTAAATATAGCTCAGAATCTCAGTCTTCTGAAATGTAGCCATAGATAAAGAAAACATTATTTTCCTAGTGTTCTGTCAACCAGGATACAAATGATAAAGAATGTTGCATTGGTCTGTTTTAAACCTGATTGTCTGCCTTAGTCAGTATTGACAACTACATTCTGTCATGGTTTTTTATATAGATTTGACCCACATGCAGAAACACACTCAGGAAACAGAAAAAAGTTTACAAGTTTAGAAGAGCACTTCAACTGTACGAGGAGGAGGACAGGTGGGTTTAGTGCATGAATGTGGAAATTTGTAGATGAACCGCCAGGGTGGATTGGGGGGGGGGGGGTAGATGGGAGCGGAGATGCAGGGCTGCTTCAATGAGGTGAGTTTGATCAAGGGGAATGGTGAGTCTGGTACGAGGTGTGTGTTCTTGGGTGGAGACCACAGTGCAGAACTGCTTCCAGTGAGTTGATTGTGGTCCAGGAGGATGGTAAGTACAGCACTTGTTGTGGGCTCTTGGATGGGGAGCACGGTAGAGGGTGTGCAGGGTTTGCTTATGGATGAGGCCTAGAGAGCGAGGAGCCAGGACACCGCCAGCAGGAAACTTGTCCGAAGAAGACGACTTGGATTTCTGTAGATGCCTTGGAACCAGGAAGTGAACTGGAACGGAATCCAGGACAATGGAGTAACCTGAGAAGGAGCACACACACGAAGGTAAGATAATGTCTTCTTTTAAACAAAGAATGAAGAGCATCAGGAGGCCAGAGTTTTACCACAGTTGGTTAACACTCAGGCGTCGAAGTGCTGTCAGCAGACTCCTCTTAAACTCTCCTGTGATGAGGCTTAATGCAATATAACTGTCACCGCTTCCTACCAACATGCTCAGGCGCCATCTAGGGTGAAACACAGTAAGCAGCAGGCAGAAGAGGAGACAGAGTCTCCAAGACCCAGACACATTCGTTGCCTCTATTTTCCTGGGGACACATTGGAAATGAAGGTGACCAGCTAAACACTGCGGGTAGCCATTACCATAGGCTGTTCCATAAAACACTTCAAGACGAGATTTTTTTTGTATTCAAGTTTTTTGTGAATGGACAGATGTTGCGAGGGGGCTGAAGTCAATCTGCCTATGGCGTGCTCCTGACTCACCAAGAAAGGTAGTCACAGCTCTGCATCAGCTGACTGGTGTAGGGGAGAGGTATACCACTCTGTGAGCAAATGCATGAGCAAATAGTCCAACAGTTCAAGAACATTTCTTAACATACAATTGCAAGGAATTTAGGGGTGTCATCATCTACAGTCCATGATATCGATCCCTTAGGGTGCACTGCATTAAAAACCGACATTATTCTGTTATGGATTGTTAGAGTTAAAAAGCTGATAAATACAGACAAGTGTAAAATAAGACACAAGGTGAATCAAGTAAGTTTGACTGGCAAGGGAGAGACAGTCCTCTGCAGAACAGCGACTTCCTTCTCACAAAGGAAGAAGTCCTTGCACCAGCCTTTTATTTACAACTCACATACTTACAAGTAAAAAGCGGGAATCTGTTCAACCAATTCTTACAGAGATTTCAACTTAGAAGTGCGGTCATTCCCATATATGGTATAAGCATGTCATGTCCAGAGAGTGATCCACTCCAGACCACATTCCTTAACTTTCCACAAACCCTTTATCCACAGTAAAACCAATCACAGGAATCATCTTCACTAGAGTAGAACTTAAAACATACACCTTGTTTACACTAAACAATGATAATTTTTTATACATTTTTCCAACAATTCCCTCCTGCTTATTATTGATTAGTTTAATAACACATCCATGTATACACTTCCAAAAGCTTTATGCATACACCTCATTAAACATTAAACTATTGTTAAGTTTAGTGACTTCTCCTCCATAATGTCATCATAGTTCTGGTCCTCATCAAGAAGTTGGTAATCCTCGGACAACATTGCATCAAAAATTCCTCCAACCATCCTTAATATCATTGCTCGGATACAGGGAATAACACGCAGAGTAAAAAAGGCAAACAACAATAGCACAGCGATTACAGGGGTCATGATTTTCAAAAGCAGTTGCCACCACGGTCCAGAAGTAGGCCATGAAGAAAGGCTTCCTCGGCCGGGATGGACATCCTGCTGCATACCCCTTTTAATTTAATTTAATTGGCATATAGCATCACTCACTGTGTGTCCATCTTCGCCGTTGGTTTTATCAGGGATGTAGGTGCAGCAGGTCTCAATCAGGAGAGCGCAACCCCCCCCCCCCAACCGAGGCCGTCAGCAGGTCCAAAACCATCCTGTTCTGCAACACCACAGCTCAAAGAGATGTGACTACTGTTGATAATCCTGTAAGAGATTTTGTGGTTGCATTAACAAAGAGTCCCAGTCGATAATCTATAGTTTCTAATCTAAGCATGTTTTTTTTCCTAAACTTAGCAAAATCTTATTTCCTGTTCTATGCTTGAATTCCTCATGTGGCTTCACACAGATGAGTTCCCTCTTTAGGGAAGGTTGAACTGAAATGACATAAGTGTGATCAGTGACATAAACAGGTGCACATACACCACTCCAACTTAGAGGCAACTGCAAATAAATGGCAGTTCCACACATGCAGTGAAATCCATCTATTGCATTAGTGCCATTTAGATCATGGACCTTTCCCCCTGGTCCAGCTTGGTGTAAAGAATAATAGAAAGTCGTGTTACACATACGCATTGGAATAGTCCCCACCGGGATGGAACCGGTGCCCACAACACAATGAGAAAAATAGGAACCTGCAAGAAGCTCCACATAGTTGGACACAGTGGTTGTAACATTAAACTGTTTAAACTTTGTAACATCACAGTTGTAAAATGTTACATTACCCATTACCACNAACACAATGAGAAAAATAGGAACCTGCAAGAAGCTCCACATAGTTGGACACAGTGGTTGTAACATTAAACTGTTTAAACTTTGTAACATCACAGTTGTAAAATGTTACATTACCCATTACCGCACGGAAACTGGTACTGGCACCAGAAATGCTGTTTCTGATAAAACACTCATCTTTTGGCACTGGTACTGGTCTAGTTGTTAACTTGGGCTAGTTGGAAGAGATTGGAAGTTCAGTACATACATAACCAGAAATGTTTCTGGACTTGGTTGTAATTTTTCATATTGGTACCAGCTGTTTGTCTCACACAAGTAATTCATATCGTGTATAAACATTCCATGGAAATCTTCATTTATCCACCTCTTTAATTTCTGGAGATTATGAAATTGTGGAAATGTCTGGCATATTATTAACACAATCAGGGCACACATGATAAACAACATTAAATGTTTCAACAAAATATTTCCTTTAGATTTAGCTGTCAGTTTCTCTCTCACCCCTAAAGGCTAGGAAAGATCATTGGTTGCTTCACTGACATTGAGGCAAAGCCTCCTCTAGATGGCGACAACCCCTTTGTAGTCAGACTTTAACATTTCCAGCCTGAGTGGAAAGATTGACAGGCTCACCTCTTACAGTGTACTTGTATAAGTGTTGGAATAATTGAATATAGATTTATCTTATATTTTCTCCTATTCTTTAACTTGACTATTTGATATTATAACCTTTCATGATGTTTGTGTGAGTAAGGATGTGTGAGTTGTCTGCAGGCAAAGGTCATAAATGGAGCTGAGAAGGAAGCAGTCCAGTTGAGGAGGTCATAAAGATGAAGGCTGATTGCGCTGAACAGAAGACGCACTGATCTTAAGATGATGGAGACTGTGAAAGTGTGTTGTTAAAAGATAATGGTATTTATGACCAGTTTACGATGCAGCTGTTTTTCCCATCCTTTAGAGAACAATGTTTTTGTAACTATCGGCCCCCAAAGATAATAAAAAGAGAGGAGCGGACAGATGTTTTTCAGAGTGGTGCGAGATTTGTAACTGAAAGCACATCTCTATCCGTTCTCCTCGCTGCGAGTTAATAACTAATCATTTGTCTCTCTTCTTTTTGTGATGTTATAAGTATTTTAGGTTGTTTAAACCTGACAATAAGTAGCCCCCTCTTGGATTTTCACAGTGGTAGGAGTTGTCAATAACACTTGGAATGGACCCTCCCACTTTGGATCAGACCACATTTTCTTCTTAATGGTCTTCATTAGCACCTAGTCACCTTCTTTCACATCACCAGGAACCTGTAGGGCTTCAGAAACATCATTTGGCAAATTATTAGCATTTTGTATGTCTCTAAACTATAATGCCTTCATCATGTAATCTGCTAACAATGCCTCTTGTTGTGGATCTTTTAGGTCTTTTTTGAGATCAGGAATTTAATAAGGTCTGCCATGTATTATTTCAAAAGGTGTTAATCCACCCTGAGCTGATGGGGTTATCCTCATATTAAGTTTTACTATATCTAAACATTCAACCCAATTTCTTTTTGTTTCTTTCATTGTCTTCCTAAGCTTACTTTTAACTGTCCCATTTGTTCTTTCTACCAACCCTGCACTTTGGGGGTGATAGCTACAGTGTGTTTTCAGATCAATCTTGAAACATTCACCATGTTCTTGTATGATTTTGTTAACGAAATGTGTGCCATTATCACTATAAATCCTTCTTGGAATTCCAAATGTACATAGTCACTTTTTGCCACTGTTATAGCATCTGGGCCTTTGCAAGGAAAGATTTCCTTGGGGGTACATATCAAACAAGAAATGTTTTAGTAAGTCTTTAGTAAGTATTAAGTCCATATTAAATCCATATGTAGTGAATTGTTTGTTCACTTAGCCAATCATCTCCCTGGTTGAGACATGGCTCTGCACATGCCTCACATTTGCAATTCAGTGGAACATTGATTTAGGTAATATAGGCTTTCCTTGAGAGCATCTAGTAATCCCTTCACATTTACCCTCAACTAAATTAGCTGGTAACAGCACAGCATCTAATAATTTCAGTAGTAACTCTACCTTTTTCCAGGCTGCACGGTGGCGTAGTTGGTAGCACTGTTGCCTTGCAGGTCCTGGATTCGATTCCCAGCTGTGGGTCTTTCTGCATGGAGTTTACATGTTCTCCCTGTGCATGCATGGGTTCTCACCGGGTACTCCGGCTTTCTCCCACAGTCCAAAGACATGCCTGTTAGGTTAACTGGTCACTCTAAATTGCCCTTAGGTGTATGAATGAGTGTGTGCATGGTTGTTTGTGTGTTGCCCTGCGACGGACTGGCGACCTGTCCAGGGTGTACCCTGCCTCTCGCCCATAGACTGCTGGAGATAGGCACCAGCTTCTCTGTGACCCACTATGGAATAAGCGGTAGAAAATGACTGACTCTGCATTTTTCCATTGTGCAACCAATTATACCTTTATTTTTATTTCTTTCCATATATAATATGTGCTGTCCAAGATGTTAATAAAACCCTGTATGATGTCATGATAGACAAGGTTAAATAATATTTAATTGGATCTTTCCTGCAAATGTTTCTCTTTGGCCATGATAACGTTGCTCTCTTTTAATCATCTGGTTCCATAACAAAATTATTTTTGGTATTCATCAGCAAGATTATAACAGCTCTGAATAATCTATTCTAATATAGTGTTTTTTTAAATGCATCTATTCTAAATCTAGCCTCTTTTATTAAATCCAGTAAGTCCTCATTATATTAAAGAATGAGGTCACTATTTCTGTTAACTGCTATTATTTGAATAATGCTTGGCTTAGTTTAGGTTTCATTACTTCTAAAAAAAACTCACTCCTCATCAATTTAATAGGCTTAATAAAATTGATGAACATAAAAATAAAGAGCATGTTATGTCTTATAATCTTAGTTTGTCTTACCCAGTTTTATAAACACACCTGTACAGATTCAGCTCTTCCCTCTTTAATTACACTTTTTATTTATTTCAAGTAACTTAAGTTTATTTCAATTAACTCAAGCTTTCTCAATTTCAAGAATAGTAATTCTGTCCAGTAATTTTGTTAAGGAGCATTTCATCTTGCGTTAAATTTTAAATCTAAGTCCAAACATCTGTTAAAATCCTTTTGTTTCACCATAAAAATTGACCTAATATTATGGTACTGTTGAGGATGTCAGGATCTGTGCTTTGTGTGTCTGTTGGTGCTTTTACTGTGCTCAGCCCCTAGATGGCGTGGAATCTGGAGGAGAGGTGACAGGTGTTCGCTATTCCCCTGATTATTCTGCAGAGGACTATTTAAGGAGGAGGCTGCCAGCAACTCACTGCCAGAGTGTTGCCCTTAGTGGTAACCAAACCTTTGACTTTAATCCTATCAGGTAATCATAGGGAGGAGATCTAATTTTTTGTGTTTCCTATCACTTTGAACTCAATTGTTTTAGGTTTTCCCTGGCTCAAGAAGCACAACCCCCACGTGAACTGGACTGAAAGCCGAGTTGAATCTTGGTCCACCAACTGTCTTTCTTCCTGTTTGCAATCAGCGATTGCTTCACAACCTTCCGAGTTAGTTCCTACTGGAGATGAGATTTCCGACCTCACTAACGTTGCTCCAGAATAACATGATCTCAGTTTGGTTTTCAGTAAGTCTAAAGCCCTATCATTGCCCCCACATAGGCCCTATGATTGTGCCATAGATTTGCTTCCTGGTGCCCCCCTGCCAACCAGTAGACTCTACAACATTTCTGGACCTGAAAGAAAGGTTATGGAAGATTACACAAATGAGTCATTAGTAGCCGGGCTAATTCGCCTCTTCATCTCTACTCGGAGCAGGGTTTTTCTTTGTGGGTAAGAAGGATGGTTCACTCCGCCCTTGTATTGATTATAGGGGATTAAACCAAATTACTGTTAAAAACAAGTACCCTCTTCCACTCCTTTCCTTAGCCTTTGAACCAGTCCACGGTTCACAAGAAATCTGTCACATTCTTAGGATACATCCTGGAGGGTGGACAGGTTCGCTCGGATCCGGAGAAGATCAAGGTGGTTCTGGAGTGCCCTGTCCGAGACTCCCGCAAGCAGCTACAACGGTTCCTTGGATTTGCAAACTTCTATCGTCTATTCATCAAAAACTTTAGTCTAATAGCCGCACCACTCACAGACCTGACCGCCACAAACATTGTGTTTTCCTGGACACCTGAAGCCAACAAAGCCTTCCAGACATTAAAAGAGAAGTTTTCTCAGACACCCATATTGGTTCATCCTGATTCCTCCAGACAGTTCATCTTGGAGGTTGACGCCTCGGATACAGGAGTTGGAGCGGTGCTTTCTCAGCAGTCTACCACCGATGGAAAACTCCACCCATGTGCCTTTTTCTCTCGTCGTCTCACAAGCACAGAACAGAACTACGATGTGGGGGACAGAGAGCTCTTAGCTATAAAGTTAGCTATTGAAGAGTGGAGACATTGGCTGGAGGGTGCCAAGCATCCTATTTTAGTATGGACCGATCATAGAAATCTTGCCTACTTACGATCAGCCAAGAGACTGAACCAATGCCAATCATGTTGGTCACTGTTTTTCTTTCATCTTGATCTTTCTATTTCTTACAGGCCTGACTCCAAGAACGGCAAGCCGGATGCTCTTTCCCGACTTTACTCATCGCACTCCACTGAGAAGGAGGCAGAACCCATTGTGCCGTCCCATTGGACTTTTGGGGCCCTACTTTGGGAGGTGGAGAACCTTGTAAAGAATGCCCTACGAAATGAACCGGACCCAGGTACGGGTCCCCCCAACAAGAAGTATGTTCCCACTTCCATGAGGTTCAGGCTCATCCACTGGTTTCACACAGCTAAATTCTCAGGTCACCTACGGGTCAGTAGAACCATCTCACTCATCTCTAGAAGAGTTTGGTGGCCGTCCTTCCACAAGGACGTCACTGACTATGTTCAGGCTTGTTCGGTTTGTGCCAGACAAAAGTTGAGCAATCAGCCTCCCTATGGGTTACTCCAGCCGCTCAGTGCGCCTAATCGCCCTTGGTCTCATATCGCTCTGGACTTTGTAACAGGTTTACCTATATCCAAAGGGAATACAGTCATCCTCACTATAGTAGACCGTTTTTCTAAGTCCTGTCATCTTGTGCCACTAAAAGGACTGCCTTCTGCTTTTCAGACTGCCCAGCTGTTTGTTCAACACGTGTTTCGCCTTCATGGCATTCCCCAGGACATCTTGTCAGATCGTGGTCCCCAATTTATCTTTCGTGTTTGGAAACAGTTTTGTTTGGCTCTTGGAGCCAAAGCCTCCTTGACTTCTGGCTACCATCCCCAATCTGATGGACAAACTGAACATATGAACCAACAGATGGAGTCCATCCTCAGATGCATGACCGCAACCGAACCTCTCGACTGGAGTGTTTATCTCCCCTGGGTTGAGTATGCTATCAATTCACAAACCTCATCTGCCACTGGCCTCTCACCATTTGAGATTTCCCCCGGTTTTCAACCTCCTTTGTTTTCAGCTGACGAGAAGGACATAGGCGTAGCATCCGTGTGGCACCACATACGCCGTTGTAAACGGATCTGGGCAAATGCTACCAGAGCTCTCCTTCGAACAGCTGACCAGAACAAGAAGTACGCTGACCGCAAATGGCGGCCAGCTCCTACGTACCAGCCTGGCCA